CTGGCTAGCCGCTCAGAGTCAAGCTGATAACCTCCACCAGCAAGACAATCAACAGCCAGTGGGAGCAGTAACAGTTCCTAGACAGGATCCCAGCTGGAACTACCAGATAGATTCCCCAGGCCACCGACACCGAAATCACATGGTAACTTGCCTCATAGCAGGACTCCAAAAATCAGCACAGAAGGCAGTGAATTATGAAAAACTCAAAAAGATCAGCCAAAGTCCAGCCAAGAATCTCTTCCTCTTTCTTTCTTGCTTAACAGAGGATCTCCAAAAATGCACAAAACTAGATTCCTATTCAGCAGTTCTCCTCTTCCTAAATCCTCATATCATTTCCCAATTGGCTCATGACATCAGATGCAAATTACAAAGGCTGGAAGATGGCCCTCAAACCCCACAAAGGGACCTCTTAAACATTGCCTTTAAGGTTTTCAATAATAGAGATGAGGAAACAAGAAATAAAAAGCTTGAAAAAGATCAGGCTAAATGCCAGATGCTGGTGGCAGCTATTCAAGGCTCCCACAAAAATAAGCAACTCCCTAAGGCAGAACCCTCCAGGCCCCTACTTTAAGTGTGGCAAGGAGGGACACTGGGCCATAGGTTGCCCTAATCCTTGTCCTCCTCCAGGCCCTTTTCCACACTGCGGCAATAAAGGTCGCTGGAAAGTTGACTGTGACCTACCCCTGCTAGTAGCAGGTAAGCCAATCTCCTTTCTTACTGATACAGGGGCCACTTACTCTGCCTTACCTGAATTGCAGGTCCTATCTTCCCACCTCAAGTCTCCATTGTAGGGGTTGATCTTATCTCCAAGCCTCTAACTGCACCCTTCCTAAATTGTCTGTTACTAGGAACACTTTTCAGTCACTCGTTCCTAGTCCTTCCTAGGTGCCCAACCCCAATCCTTGGCAGAGACATTTTATCAAAATTCAGAGCTTCCCTTACGTTTCTCTCTCCCACTTCTAATTCAGACCCATTCCTCCTCCTCACTGAGCCCAAACCAGATACATTCCCTGTCCCAACTTCTCCAGTCACACCCAAGGTCTAGGATACGTCCACTCCTTCAGTAGCTCAACACCATTCTCCTGGCCTCATAAAACTAAAAGACCCTTCAACATCCCTGTCAACCCCAATAACCCCTTATCCTTAGAAAGCAGACGAGGCCTCCAACCCATTATACAGCGCCTTCTATCTCCAAATCTCCTACGATCCACTCACTCCCCATACAACACCCCTATCTTACCTGTCAAAAAGCCAGATGGCTCAGATCACCTTAGTCCAGGACCTCCGCATCATAAACCAGGCAGTTCTCCCAACCCGCCCAGAAGTACCCAACCCTTACACCATCCTATCCCTTATTCCCCCAGACACTTCCCATTTTACTGTAATTGACCTAAAAGATGCATTCTTCACCATTCCTCTACACCCAGACGCTCAGAATCTCTTTGCTTTTACCTGGACAGATCCTTTTACTCATCAGTCCCA